TCGCATTGTGTAAGCGCACTTCCAATTACCCGCCTCAAGAAGAGGACCATCTCGCGTCACGGTTGCTATGCACAACATTGCAAGGCTTTTCTGTGTGGCCGCCGACACTAGTAGCAGCAGAACGAAAGCAGCGGGAGCCACAGCAGCACCAACGGCCATAGATAAATTTTCTGCCATTAGCTCCGAGATGGCTGATGTTCGGTTCAACTGGGCCCCGCTAGATGGCACGACCTGTCCAGTGTAACCACGCGAAAATTGAGTTTTTGAACCCCTCGCGCCATTCTCCATAGTAATGTCCAGCGATTATTTTTTTCAATAATCAAACAGAAATGAACAAGCAGTATTTTATTGCGCCCCTTGATGCATAGAAGGTTCCTTATTTAGTGCAGATAGATGATTACTTGTGATTAATTCCCCGCCGTGGTGGTCTAGTGGCTAAGGTACTCGACTGCTGACCGGTGGGTCGCGGGATAGAATCCTGGCTGCTACGGCTGCATTTCCGATGGAGGTGGAAATGTAAGCCCGTGTGCTCAGATTTAGGTGCACATTAAAGAACCCCAGGTAGTCGAAATTTTCGTAGCCCTCCACTACCGTGTCTCTCATAATCATATGGTGGTTTGGGGACGGTAAACTTTACATATCAATCATTACTAGTGATTAATTGTAAGCAGTTCGTCTAATGTCATTGGGATCATTTTGAGAATGTCCTACTGCGGCACATGTATTCTTATGCATTTATCTCTATTTCTCAGTAACTAGGGCACTGCTGTTGATATTGTCGTTTTAGAGGTTGTCATACGTTGAGCTTTCACGTCATACATTGAGCTTTAGCTCTGATGCAAATTGTTATTTGGCTTTAGTATCCCTTTAAGAATTGGCAGCCAACTAGACAGTCTATAATTTCTATTGTGTGTAACGAATTATTGTCTGTTGTATACTTTTCAACAACTTGGTGGCTCATCTCGGCGTCGTCACAAGCAGTGTAGCCAGAAAAGAAAGAGGAGTCACTTAACCCACCCACCGCCTTGCAGTCCCATTTTCAGTTATCCATGTGCATATATATGCACAGACATACAAACACATCCGAACGTGCTTAAATTATCATTGAAATCACCCCCCCAACCGAAAATGTTTTAGGGGCGAAGCTCTTTAAGACGTGGGTCTGTCTATTCCTTCTATGTATGGATGTATATAGTAGTACGTAGCGACGTAGGTGGCACATACTCGCTCTAGAGCGGGTATCTGCCACAGGGGATGCAAGATGGGAGATTGGGGTAGTTGAAGTGTTCACTAGATGGACGGACGAATGGAAAGACGTGCGGACGTATGGACGGATGGATGCACGAACAGACACAGATTGGTGGACGGACGGACTCATGGACGAATGCACGGACAGACGGAAGCACGAACCGGCTGACAGACGCTTTGCCCCACTCATCATTCACTCCATGGATATGCTGTGATTTTTTTGCTACGCTATTAGTCGCCACACACTGGCCATATGCATTTGTAGCGCACTTCTGTTGAAGATGATAACCCCCTTCCCATTTTGATTGCTTTGGTGAAAGCACGAAGTTTGCTGTGGCCTTGGTCAGTGGCCTTGGTCTAAAGATTCTCTTTGCGAGTATGTCATTCTGCTTGAGTTACGTAGACGAAAAGCTAGTGAAGATACATCATTTCACAAAATTAACATTTCTCAAGTTTAAGAAATACCTTCTAGTAACTTCATCTATTTTTAACTAATACATGGAGCTTTCAAATGAGATAGCTTGCACATTTTTAGCCCTACCACCAAGGCAAGTTTTTTGGTGCTAGATACAGCGCTATTCCTAAAAAAAGTGAAATCCACATTTTTGTGTCAAACTATCTGCTATAACTTTAGTGGCTAAATTATTTTTACGAGGTCTGTTAGAAAAGTATCTGACCTTATTTTTTTTTTTTTGCAAAAACCTGATGAATTTGGAACAAGCGCGCTTGCATCTGCCGACCTTGAACCTTTGTCCGCATGCATGAATTTTTCCCCGCTTGCCATAGCGTCAGTAGCTGGGATGCAGTGTTTGAGTGAGCTAGTGCGCTGTGGTCTCGTCGGTTTTTCATTGCAAGGAAAATGACGGAGCGACTGGAGCAGCGCTAAGGCATCAAATTTTGCCAGAAACTGGGCGACAACCAACTGGAAACCATTCGAAAAATCGAGGTGGCTTTTGGTTACGACGCTATGAGCCTCACACAGATTAAGGAGTGGTACAACCGGTTTAAAGACGGCCGCACGTCGATGGAGAGCCAGTCACACTCCTATCCACCATTAACATGCTGAATTGACCAGGTCATTGCCGAAGGGAATGCGGTGATGATGTGGGACCGTCATCTGACTATCCGGAAATGTGCGGAAAAGGTGGGCATCGGCATTTTCTCTGCACATTTCATTATGACTGAAGATTTGGCGATGAAGAAAGTTGCGGCGAAATTTGTGCCGAAACTGCTCACGAAGGAGCAAAAGCAACTTGGTGTTGAAGTCTCGCAGGACATGCTGGATTTCACAAGCAGTGACCCTAACCTCGGTAAACTCAATTATCACTGGTGTCTTGGGTGTACAAGTTCAAACCGGAAACCAAATCTCAGTCACAGTGGAAGCATTCCACGTCATTAAGATGAAAGAAGGCCTGCCAAGTGCGCAGCAACGTCAAAGGGATGCTGAGTGCTTTCTTTGACTCCCGCGGTGTGGTATACCACGAGAGCGCACCGCAGGGTCAAACAATCACCAGAAAATACTACAGGGCTGTGGTCCGTTGCCTTCGTGATGCTGTGCGGCGCAAGAGACCTCATTTGTGGTCAACAGGAAACTGGCGCATCCATCACGACAATGCTCCTGTACATTCCTCACACTTGGTTCAGACTTTTTTGGCGAAAGACTCCTACAGTTCAACAGGCTCCTTACACCTCCTGATGGGGCCTCCTGCGACTTCTGGCTGTTTTTCAAACTCAAGAGGACATTGAAAGGAGGGCGATTTTAGACAAGGGAAAACAGAATGGCTGCAACGACAGCTGAGCTAAACTCTATTCTGAAAGAGGCCTTCTCAGAATGCTTCCAACAATGGCAGTGCCGCTAGTCCCTAGGGGACTACTTTGAGGAGGATTGTTTCCAACGCTCAATTATGCCAATTTTTTTTTTTCCCACCAAAGGTCGGATAGTTTTCTCGCAGACCTCGTATTTTGTAGCATGTCAAACAGGCCGCCAGCACATATATTGTGTCCTTCGAGCTTGCTATCTGAAAAAAAAAAAAAAAACCAAATTCGGCAATATTATTAATTATTGCTTGTAAAGAAAATCTCTAGAAGAATTGATATACAGAAGTCATTATTTTTACAGTTGGATCACTTCATTAGGTTGCCACAATTACCATTTTATCGAGTGCATTCCAAAAACGTATTTTGAAAAAAAAATAGTTGTTTGATGCCCTCTAGCTCAGTCGGCACAAAACTGCAAGACTCATAAATTGGGAGGAAACTTTTTGGCAACGGAAATGACCGAGCAGGGCGAGTTTCGAACTTCGAGAAACATGTTAAAAGTTTTTCAGTCGTATTTGTGATGGTAAGAAAAACGCTGGATGATTTGGCATTCGTGATGGTAAAAAAAAACGCTGGATGATTCGGCATGGAATGACCCTATAGGAGACACCAGTGTGCCTACAGTAAAACACGGGTTGATAAGAAAAATGCATACATGGAATCGTGCTTAAGAAAGATATCTCTTAAAAGACAAGAATTGCTGCTCGGAGCAAGCCTTTTGTAGAGGGGTTTAACTGTATATTCAATTTCTGTTATCTTCATACGTTGTGATAAGTTTGATAAGTTTTCCCACCAGGGATACTTTTGAAGTCATATTCTGTTATTTTCATAGGTTGTGATAAGTTTTCCCACCAGGGATGCTTTTGAAGTGCATGTAGGCATAGTTATTGGCTCTTGTTAAAATATTTTGCTCATGTTTTTAAACTTGAAATTGTGTTTCTCTGAACATCACTTTTTTGAAAATTTTCAAATCTTGATGTACTTTTTCTGGAAACCTGTCTGACTGATCATGCTGAAATTTTCTCACATTACGCTGAAATATATTTCAAATTGTCTGAACCTGCTAAGCCTGAAAAGATGAGTTCTAATTAGGGAAAAAAAGATTAATTAGAAATTTTTCATAGTACCAAAAGGAATTCAAACGCTTGTTCTTTGTAAGACACAATGCTAATGAGAACTGTGAATCTCCTATCCTTGTGTCCCCTGTGTCCCCATCAGGGTTCTCAAACTCATCTTAGCTATTGGGCTGTAGCTACGGAACTTAGTCCCACATCGGCTGGAATAATGAAGATAGTTCGAGAGAGATGGGGGGGACAAAGTTTCAGCTAACATTGTCATTTGAAAGAAGGCCTCATATCTCATATATAGGTCATTTCTGAAGGGGATTTGACATTAAAGTTATGAGAAACTGTTCAAAATGATCTGCAGTATGACTACAATGTGACAAGGGAAGGCATTAGTGTTTTCCTTGTGAGGTAAATTTAAGAGCCTATTCTTCTATCTGGAGACTGAAGGAATTATCACACAAAATTACCAAAGTTTCATGATCATGAGAAAAGTTATGTTCAATTTTGCATCCCATTCTGAAGTTTGGTTCTCAAAATATTAAAAAACAAAACTAAAGAAAAATATTAAGAAAGGCTGCAGTGGACAAATTATACTAAGGGCAAAAAAACACTGAACATGCATAATTTAATGAAATTCAGAATGATCATTGAGAGTCAAAGCTGGAAACTAGGGGATCCATTTACCTTGCCATACCTACAGGATTCATTTACCTTTCCAAGGCATTTCTCCAGGGAATTCATTAAACTTTAGGAGAGAATTGATTTTGTAGCATCCATGTGGGGTAATGTGTGTATATGGCTTATTTATACAGTTGTATGATCAGTAGTGCTAAAATGGAATTGATATGATGGATGCCTGTATTTCAGCATCCAACAAAGGGGTTCTATTCCCCACATGCACCCAGAAAGACCCATTGCCTCTTCAGTGTGCCAGGGCCTGTTTGGTTATTTGTAAGTACAACCTGATCTTTTGCTTTTTTCTGATATTCTAGTAATATTTAATAGTTGAATGCCAACAGGTATTCAAAGTAGCAAAATTTGGGTGAATTGGTATATACTTCTGAAAGAAAAAAAATTCCTAGCTGCAAAAATGCTGTAAAGAGATAAATTACAAGCAGCTCTTGTCCAGTTTCTTCTCTTCCTTATGTTCTTGCTGCTTGTAATTTTTTTACTTGAATATTGCAAGTTTTTAAAGAGCTGAACTTAGGGCTGGTTAGTAGTCTATAATGAAGGCTTTTTAAGCATACTGCTGTGAAATAAAGATGCAGTCAGAACAACAAAGGATGAGTGTCATCCAGTGTAGTTTCTCTTCTACGTGTCATACAAAGACCAATGTGTTGTTAGCATTTAATACTAAAGGTGTGATACATAAGCTTCAAAGTCTGCTCGAGATAATTGGACAAATTTAATTGTCTTCTAGTAATGTAAACCTCATTTAGTGCTGTTTGCCTCATTTCTCATTGTAAGCTGTGATAAATGAATATGTCCATTGTGTTCCAACGTGTTGTATAAAGAATGGGACATTTTATCATTATATCTCATGAAAGGTACTTGCACAAGAAGAGCAGCTGTGCACTCATTTGATGAAATTTCATCTTATCACATGTCAAGGCAGTAGTTAACTGAAATAAGTTTTAGAATACTATTTAAACTTTGGCTAGTTAGTTGCCACGCAGAATATAGTTGCCATTAGCTGCTGCTTAAGTTCATATGTTATGGTTACTTTGCCCCCTGTGCTTTGCCTTGTGTTTTGCATCCTGAAGTAAGCATTATGCTTTTGTGTATCTGCTGCTCTTTGTCGTATGCTAATTATTGTATCATCATCATCAGCCTAACTACGTCCACTGCAGGACAAAGGCCTCTCCCATGTTCCGCCAGTTAACCAGGTCCTGTGCTTCCTGCTGCCAATTTATACCCGAACTTCTTAATCTTATCTGCCCACCGAACTTTCTGTCTCCCCCTAACCCGCTTGCCTTCTCTGGGAATCCAGTTAGTTACCCTTAATGACCAGCGGTTATCCTTTCTACGCGCTACATGCCTGGCCAATGTTCATTTCGTCTTCTTGATTTCAACTATGATATCCTTAACCCCCGTTTGTTCCCTAATCCACTCTGCTCTCTTGTCTCTTAAGGTTACACCTACCAATAGCACTATTCGAAGGTCGCAGGTTCGGTTCCTGCTCACGGCAAGTTATCTTTTCACCCACTTTTCTTTCTTCACATTTACAATACAATTGAGTCTAATAACTTCCCCTATACATTCCTTGGCATTATTGTCTGTTAGATTTCATTAATATTGTGTCAAAACACAGAAAAATGAGCCCTTAGGTACACACTTCTTTCTGTTATTCATTAACGAGGGTCTCGTACTGGCAGACTTCGTGCCGTTAGGTTGTATATGAGGGACTATTGGTCAGCTGCCCGCTCGTGATAAGTTCACGTGCTATGTGACGCCACACAGGCTTATAAAAGGGTGTTCCACACTCGCCGCCATGGCTACAGATGGCGCTGACTGACACTCCCACGTTTAAATTCAAATATAAAACCCAATAAAGTGGCTGGGGGGATAACCACCGTAATAGCTCAGGGGTTAGAGCATCGAATGCGTTATTCGAAGGTCGTAGGTTCGATTCCTGCTCACGGCAAGTTATTTTTTCACCTACTTTTCTTTCTTCTTATTTACATTACATTGGTTCTATTAACTTCCCCTTATACATTCCTTGGCATTATTGTCTGTTAGATCTCATTAATATTGTGTCAAAACACAGAAAAACGAGCCCTTAGGTATACACTTCTTTCCCTTATATATATATATATATATATATATATATGCACACACACACACACACACACACACACACACACACACACACACACACACACACACACACAAGGCCTCCCACGTAATTTGGTCAGAGTTTAAAAGTATGCCGGAACACACAATTGTGACGTGACCGAATGCATGTTGCTCACCGTTGCCTGGAATTAGTCAGACTATTTTTTGTGTTCTCAAATCTTGTTTGATTACATCTATTTAGTTGACCAACTTGTGAAGGAACGAAGATGGATGAAAATTTTCAATGAGAAAGTTGTAGATCGGTTTGTAAAACGCCCTGATAGATAGTTTTGAACATTATATCTGTTAAGTATTAGGGTTTTTCTGCTAATTACAAATGCCCACTAAATACAAAAAAATACCACGTGACGAACCCGCTCGTGCGTCAGTGCGCACGATAGTTCTAGTGCTCCCTAACGTTCCGCGTACGAACGACATGCTTCCCTCCAGCGATAAGCAGGCACAGCGGTTATCGTTTTTGTGGCCGATTTCAAAATGTGTTCATCGTAGAACCACCACCATCGTTGTGGCCCTGCTGAGACAGGACAATGGGGCAAATGCTGGAATGTTAGGGTATATGGAACGCTAGGGAGCACTAGAATCATGCGAACTGGCCCACGAGTGGGTTTGTCACGTGGTATTTTTTGTATTTCGCGAGCATTTGTAATTAGCAGAAAAACACTAATACCCAACAGATATAATGTTCAAGACTGTCTAATCGGACGTGTTGCAAACTGATGTACAACTTTCTCATCGACACTTTTCATCTAACTTCGTTTCTTGAAAAGTTAGTTAAACATATCTAATTAAACAATATTTGAGAACACCAGAAATAGTCTAACTCCAGGAAAAGGTGAGCAACATGCATTTGGCTGCATCGTAATCGCGTGTGCTGGCACATTTTTAAACTCTGGCTAAAGTTACCTGGGACATGCTGCGTGTGTGTGTGTGTGTGTGTGTGTCTATATATATTGATTGATTTGTGGGGTTTAACGTCCCGAAACCACTATATGATTATGAGAGACGCCGTAGTGGAGGGCTCCGCAAATTTCGACCACCTGGGGTTCTTTAACGTGCGCCCAAATCTGAGCAAACGGGCCTACTACATTTCCGCCTCCATCGGAAATGCAGCCGCCGCAGCCGGGAATCGAACCCGCGACCTGCGGGTCAGCAGCCGAGTACCTTAGCCACTAGACCACCGCGGCGGGGCGTGTCTATATATATATATATATTGTGAGACGACGTCAGGTACGAAGGAGCGACCGTTTTATTGTCAACCCAGACGCGCGAGCCAGCAACCGAACAAACAGCGAGCCGCTACGATGATGATGATCACGGTGCTTTGTATGCGCAGGTGAAAGTGAAAATGATGAGCAACACAATCAGCGCTCACACTATTTCCCCCCTACACGAAAGCGGTCTGCAAGACGTTCATTTAGTAAGTGTATGAGCGCTGGATATAAGGTTTCAGGCGAGACACATGGACGATCTCGGTCCCGCGACGACGGCGATCAGAAGCCGAAGTAACCGGCGCGACGCGATAATTTACGGCCGATGTTCGTTCAAGCACGGTGTAAGGACCCAGGTATCTGTGAATGAATTTTTCACAGAGGCCGGGTGTGCGAACAGGTGTCCAGAGGAGCACTTCGTCGCCTGGGTAGAATGACACAACTCGACGTGTCGCATCACAACGAACTTTTCGCTGGGCCTGAATGGTAGAGGTGTTGGCGCGGGCGATTGTGCGGCAGTGGTTAACACGGGCAGCGAATTCTTCCGGAAGGGACGCAGATGGGACAGAAGGCGTGGACAAAAAGCTGGTGTCTAGAACAAAAGATGGTGCACGGCCATACACAAGAAAAAACGGGCTGTAACTTGTAGTGCGTTGTATGGCAGTGTTATAGGCAAACGTGACGAAAGGTAGTATTGTGTCCCAGTTCTTGTGATCGGGTTGGACATACATAGAGATCATGTCTGACAAAGTTCTATGAAAACGCTCAGTAAGACCATTGGTTTGCGGATGATATGCCGAGGTGGTCTTATGGATTGTGTCAGAGGCCTGTAAAACTTCAGCGAGCACACGAGAAAGAAATGTCTTGCCACGGTCACTCAGGAGAACACGAGGGGCGCCGTGGCGCAGGATAATGGCACGCAGAACAAAGTCGGCTACTTCGCTGGCAGCTCCAGTAGGAAGAGCTGCCGTCTCAGCGTAGCGAGTAAGATGGTCTACGGCAGTAACAATCCAGCGGTGACCGGCGGCGGTAAGCGGAAGGGGTCCGTATAAGTCTATGCCGACGAACTCGAAGGGAGCGGATGGGCACGGGAGAGGCTGTAGAGGGCCGGCGGGAAGAGATGTCGAACGTTTTCGGTGCTGACATGATGAACAGGAAGTGACGTACCTGGAAACACTAGTGGAGAGGCCAGGCCAGAAGCAGCGAGTCTTAATGCGATCGTAGGTTTTATGAAAACCCAAGTGGCCAGCCGTCGGGTCGTCATGAAAGGCTTCTAAGACTTGGAGTCGAAGTGAGCGAGGTATGACCGGGACCCATCGGCTACCGAGAGGATGGTAAGTTTGTCGAAGTAGCGTTCCGTCATGAAGTTTGAAACGCGTGAGTTGTCGTCGCAAGCGGCTGTTGGGAGCACGAGATGAGCCGGTGAGCCGATCGATGATTGTACGGCAGTATGTGTCTGCACGTTGGAGCGAGGTGAGGTCTGCGGATTGAAGGAAGTCATCCGGTGCAGTGGGCTCGATGGGACTAAGACTGGTCATCTGCGTGGTCTCTTGGCTGGGAGGTGCTGCGCAGCAGGTAGATGCGTCATGATTTTGCAACAGCGGACAGCGTGACAAAGCGTCGGCATCTTGGTGTTTGCGGCCCGACCGGTATGTGACACTGTAGTCATACTCCTGCAGTCGGAGCACCCAACGACCGAGGCGTCCTGACAAGTTTTTTAATGATGACAACCAACAGAGCGCATGATGATCCGTGACGATCGTGAAGCGGCGGCCATACAAATAGGGGCGAAATTTTTGCACAGACCATACGATAGCGAGACATTCCTGTTCAGTGATGCTGTAATTGCGTTCCGCTGGGGAGAGAGTACGGCTCGCGTAAGCCACG